AAGAGTGTGAGAAACCCTGTGCCGGTGGCTGAGGGCCCGGGCCCAGGGAGGGAACTGGGGATTTGCACACAGTAGAATTAAGGAACGCTGGCTCTGCGTGGGGGATAAAGGAAGCCATGGAGGGAGTGTGTGCGGGGGGCGTGCCGCGACTTCCCCTCCCCAGCCCTCGCACCGCCTGGCCCGCTCCCCCTGCTTCGCCATGGCTGGCATTCGGGGTCTCGCACCTCCACCGCCCCCACGCGTGCTGCCGCGGGGAGCGGCCTGACCGCTGCTTGACGCCGCAAGAGGGGCGGGGGTCTCACTATTAAAAGGGGCAACAGGCCCGCTCCGTTAGCGACGCCCTCGAGTCCGCGGCGGTCACGATGCAGCTCCTGGTGAGGGTGCCGTCTCTTCCGGAACAGGGCGAGCTGGACTGCAACATCTGCTACCGGCCCTTCAACCTCGGGGACCGCGAACCCCGCCGCCTCCCCGGGACGGCGCGCGCCCGCTGCAGCCACACGCTCTGCACCGCCTGTCTGCGCGAGTTGGCGGCGCGTGGCGACGGCGGCGGGGCGGCCGCGCGCGCAGTGAGCCTGCGCCACGTCGTCACGTGCCCCTTCTGTCGCACGCCCACCCCGCTCCCGCGCGGCAGGGTCACTGAAGTCGCTGTCGACCCGGACTTGCGGTCGCGCTTGGAGGCAACAGCGCGGGCCGCGCACGAATCTAATGGGGCGGGTGGCCCGGTTCGGGAAAGCGGCGATGTGGACCGAGAGGCAGATGACTAGGAAAAGGAGAGAAAGGGGCGGGGCCTAGGAGCGCGGGATGGCGTGAGCTCCTGCGGCCCTGGGCCCGGGTGCTGGCACCAGCGCGCAGGTGGCGGCGCTAGCAACGGTGAGGGGCCGCCCGGGTAGGCAGTGGAGGGAGAGCGCCCCGGAACGCCGGTTCGGCTGCGCCCTTCCGCTGCCACTAATCCTCCTTCTTTCCCCCAGTGCTGTACTGTCCAGAGATCAAGGACTCGGCCCACATGACCCGCTGCACGCTGTAACCGCGGAACCCTGAAGCTACGGCAGAAGAAAGGTGGGAGCTTCATTCTCGGGGCGCGCTGTGCTACAAGGAACTGGTACCAAGCTCACCCCCATCATGTCCCGGAGTGTCACGGATGAGGGAGGTGAGCCAGGGGCAGAAGGGAACGCCCTGGGAGGTGTTGATGCTGCGCTGGGGAGGCTCCTAGACGAATCGCCCCCATCTACTGACTGTGCCAGCCTTGCATATTCAGGATGGAATGGCCCAGGGAGGATAGAAACAAAGTCTACGTTCCCGTGGGAAGCAGACAGACTATTTCCCTAGCTGTGACTTTGGCTTTTGTCCAGGGCAGCTCTGATGTGTGGGAGCAACAGGTCCCATTTTAGCAATTCTGTGTCAATGATTTGAAAGTTTAAAAAAGACGGAACGGGAGAGAAGAGGCTGATTTCCATGTCATATTAATCTCACTTCTCTAGCACCTAAGAGAACTGAGAAAAATAAACCGTACCCACCCTACTCCCTCCGCTGGTATGCCTACTAGTTTCCCCCTTCCCAGTACTGTGTTCCTAAAATTGTCAAGACGCATCCCCACCTATGAGATTAGGAGCCTCGCTTTATTTCAGAATCTCCCTTCAACCTGTTAGGGCAGGTATGACGACGTCCAAAGGGCATTTATCCGAGTCACCTCATTAGGGCCTATCAAGGATAGGAGGGAGAGCCATTTGGCTATGGCAGTGAATTGTAAACTTTTGATATTATTTTTACAGCCACAAGGAAACACTGTCACTACTGAAAAAAGATGCTCATCATACAATTTTAAACTTGTGTCCCATATTTAGACATCACCTATTTCAGGGCAGGGGTTCAATTTAAAAGTCCTGTTCGTTATCTTGTGATTGTAGAGTTACAGTCAAGGACCAGCAGCATCGGCATGACTGGGAGCTTATTGGAAGTGCAAAATCTCAGGATTTCACTTCTGACTTACTGAATTAGACTCTGCATTTTAACAAGAATCCCAGGTGATCCATTTAAATAAGGATTTAAGAAGCACTGGTCCAGGTCCTAGACTATGTTACATTTTCCCCTGAGTTAAAAAGGGGAACCTATTAAGAATAAACCTCAATTTTTCTATGTTTTTACCTTTTTCCTTTCCTTAAGTCTCAGCTTAAATATCCCCTCTTTGGGGAGGTCTTTCTCAGCTTTCAATCTGGTGTAGCCCCCTCCCTCACCCTCTGTAATACAATGCCTTGTTTTATTTTTTCACTACATTTATTTTCTGATATGTGTCTTGTTGGTGTCCTGCACTACAGTGTAAGCTCCATGACAGCAGTGACTAACTTGTGACTGTTGTATCTCCAAGGGCAACAGCAGTGTTTTTTAACATGTACTCAATAAATGCTTGTTGGAATTACATTTTTTAATATAATAGCCTCAAAAATTGTCTGGTCTCTCAGCCTCTGAGAAGCTCTGGTAGTGAATACATGTCAAGCTGTAGTGTCTAGCGGTTCAAACCTTTGGCAAGCTATGCAGGTCTGACCCCCCACCCCCCAGCTCCTTTAAAATAAAAGTGTGCTTCTGCAACTGGGAACTGAACCTATGAAGCTGTAGTGACCTCTACTGACTCTTGGCAGAACTAAACAAGCTGAAGGTGGAAAGGACGATCAAAAGGATGAATGGAAGGCAGTTCTGAAACGTATCAGGCACCCCTCCCACTAAACTGTCCAGTCATTCCTGCTATCTCTCTGATCTCAACCTGAGGCCTGTGGAGGTGTCCTGCTGTCACCCTCCATCTCCGCTGAGCTCATCACACTGGGGTGAGGGTTGGAAAAAGAGCCTTGGAGTTGTAGCTGATGATCCAACAAATAAAAATGAGAAAAAGGAAAAGTCACAAGATTTAAAAAGAGAAATGGGTAATAGGAAATGGCAGAAAGCAACACCCTTTCTTTCCTCATCCCTCCCCGAAACCAGAGAACTCCCCCACTCAAAAATAACAGAGCACACAGAAAGGAAAGTATAATTTATATGTACAACCAATAAACCTGATACAGAAGAGGGGACTGGGACAGACCAGGAGTGGGTGTGAAGAGACCGGGAAAGGAGCAGCAAGAAAGTGAAGGGGAGCGAAGAGCAAGTGGGGGGTTCGCCATGCAAACTGCCACTCTCCCCAGCCCCTCCTGGGGAGGAGGATGTGCCCATGTCTCCCCAGCCTGCCCTCCACTATTTTGCTCTGGTCCCAAAGGCAAGGTAGTCCCCTGACTAGGCCCCCTGCCTGACCCACTCAAGTTTAGTCCATATCCAGGTCTTCAGGAGGGAGGGTAGAAGTCCTCCAAGAACCTGAGCCCCAAAACTGGGGGCTCCCCCCACATCTGGCCCATTGTGTTCTCCGCCACCCTTTCTAGGTTACCTGGGTCCCTAGGACAGATTGGGGAGCTCCTCTTTGGCTTAAGGGAGTATCACCCAAATATTACTCTCTTTGTAGGGGTGGTCCTTGGTCCCTAGGGAGGGGGGAAGATTCCCAACACAAGATGCCGGTACGCAGGAGGTAACTGAGCCAGTGAACGGCGCCTTTATTCTGAGGCTGAACAGCAATGGACTCCCTCCCTTGTTAACTGCTCCGCCCTCCATTTGGGGGGAGGTAGGGGAAGGAAACATGCAGCCGCCCCTCCTCTTCCCTTCCACCCTCCCAGGGCTCACTGTCACCCCTCTCTAAAGTCACCCTCCTCTCTAGAAAGCTCTCTTCCCCACCAAAGTCCCTAAAGGCCGGGCCAGGCTAACCCCCCACTTCTGCAAGAGATGGAGCTTACGCTGCAGGAATAAGAACTGGGGCAGCTCCACCTCTTCCCCCCCCACCAGCCGCTCACTGGGAAGCTGTGTGCGCTGGGCAGTGGGGGGTACAGGTACTTGGAAGACCCTGCTGACCACCTCCCACCCAGACCTCTTCTCACCAGCACAGTCTTCAAAGCACGGTGGGAAAGGTGCACAGGGTGGAGGACACAGGGCCCTTCTTGAAGAGAGCTGTAGAGAGGGGCAGAGGGGCTCCTAGCCCAGCGGGGGCCCACGGGGTGGGGAAGGCGGAGGACTGGCAGCAGGCCCCAGAGCCGGGGCTGGGGGTCGGCCTCGGGGGCGGGGCCTGGGTGAAGGGCAGGCCTGGGATCCGGTCAGTCGTCTATACAGATCACCTCCCCGGCTCGGGGCTCCTTCCGATCCAGCCCGTCTGACACCAATGCCCCCATTTCCTTCTCCTTCTTCACCAGCACTGGAGGGCCGTTGGTGGCGGCTGTTTGGGAAGCAGGTAAGGAAGGGTCAGTCCCTCCTCCGCTTCCCATTGTCGACTGCTTCCTGACGACAGTATGTTCTTACTTCTAGGTCACCTCATGCCACATCCAATTTTCTAAGGTAGGGATGGGAAAAGATCTCTCTCTCTGAGATTCCCCACTGTACGCATGATGGAACACACGTTCCAACTTTCACCGGAACCCCCTTCCAATTTCATACTCTCTTTCTCTGAAGTAAACAGCTGGAGGAGGCTCAGGTAGGAGGTACCAAGCCACAGAACCACTAAAACCCTAGATGAGGTTTTTGACGATGGGAATGGAAGAGAAGCTGAGAAAGGGATGGGTTAAAACAAAGTCCAGAACCACTCCATTCCATAAAACACCGGATACTTTCAAGGAAATGAGATGGGCTGGACAAGTAAAAGGGTAGCTGAGCAGGGATGAAGCTCGGAAGAGGAAGAATGCAAGGAGCAGGAGGCAGGAAGTCACCAGCTGACCTGTGATGAAGGACCCTGCAGGCATCTGGCTGTAATTGGCGCCTGCGGCGGCCAGGGCCCCTACGGGTGCGGCGCTGAAGGCCGCCCCGTACCCCGGAGGTGTAGCGTATGGACCCGGAGGGAAGGCCTGGAAGAGAGAGCGAGCCCACATTAGAGGGTCCACAGTCTGAGAGGAAAGAAGCTCTCGGGGAGACATCATGGGCCAAACTCCAGAACTACTGAGGGGTATCATACAGGCAGGGAGACTCAAGGCTGATGAGCGTGCTGGAGCAGGTCGTTGTTCCACACTGCACAGGGTTCTGAAGGAGGTGTTCATACGTGTGCAGGAGGAGTACCAACAGGGAGAACTGGAGTCGGGGGAAAGAGGGTTACCGGTGTGGGGTGAGGCTCCGTGCCCTTGCTGGCCAGCCGGCTGAGGATGCTGCGCTCGGACATCTGAAGGCGGGCTGCGATGGGGGGTATTCGGGACAGCGTGGCTGGCAGGCGGGTCACGTCCGCCTTCATGTCGCTCAGCAACTCCTCCAGCTGGTTCAGAACTGGGGCCCGGGCCACGGAGAAAGAAGGGCAAGAGAAAGACAGGGAAAGGGAGAGATGGAGCCAGGAAAAGAGATGAGGAGTCAGATGGACAGTTACAGTCAGAGAAGGAGAGAGAGGAGGGCGCAGATGTCGAAGAATCAGAGACCAAGGGAATGACAGAAGTAGAAAAAAAGAGCAACTCGGGGACAAAGAAAAAGTGTCAGGTAAAGAGGCAGAGAGACCAGATCACCACAGAGGACAGACAGATGGAGAGAAAGAAGAAAGGAAAAGGGAATATGGAGAAAAGGGAGATAGGGGAGGGAGGACATCGGAAGACATGGGGGCGGGGAGTTGTCAGAACATCCCATACTGAAAGAGTGAGGTTTGGGGGTTGGGGATGATGGGGAGGAAATAGTCAGGAGGCGTGGGAGGTGGTAAGTGGTGTCAAAGACGTAAGGAATCAAAGTTTTAATATGTAAGGGGGGAGGGAGGTTAGAGGGTCAGCATTACAGATTCAAGGAATTAGAACAGGAGTCAAAGGGGCCAGGAATCAGTCACTACATCAGACAGGATTAGATGGTTAGAGGGCTTTAGAACTTAATCTATTATTATCAAGGTAAGAGGGTTTGGGAGGAAGGGTTGAAGGTCAAAGGGAAGTTTCATGGGTAGGGTCAGAGGGTGGGACGGTGGTGGTTTCTGCTTCATGGGGTGAATGAGACGTGAGGAACGTGATTTGTGGGACCGGGGGTAAGGACTTTTGTGGACTATACACAGGCCAGGGCCCCAGAGAGAGTGCTATTAAGCAATATGGCAGGTGTGTGGGTCAGCGATGAATTCCGCCCTGTGGAGGGGACGTGGCACAGTCTCACGGAGATTGGGGGGTGGGGGGGAAGGTCCCTCCCTTAGGCACTGATGTGAGTGCTACTGGGCACGGATGAGGGTTGGCTGCACGAATCCTAGAGGCTAAACACCAAGGGGGTACCAGGTGGGTTGGGGTGGGGTCAGAGGTCAGAGGGGGGTGGTTCAGAGGGTAAAGGGGTCAGAGGGGTGGGAAGATTTTGAGGGGTGCGGGGTGAAGACTTACGCAGCGTTGTGGGCCCTCCCCCGCGCGGGGCCGCCGCGGCCCTTACCCTTGTGCAGCACGGCGTTGGCCGGCTTGTTCCCCGCCAACGACTCCTTGGAGAGGTGCTGGTGGCTCTCGGCCAGGCACTCGGCCTCGGCGAAGCGGGCGTGGAGGGCCATGGCGGGGTGCGCCGGCTCCTGTGATAGGTTCAGGTAGGCCGCCCGCCGCAGCTGCTCCTCGATCACCAGCGCCTGCTCCAGGAGCTAAGGGCGTGGGGAGGGGGTGAGTGCGGGAGCTGCCAGCAGCAAGCACGCAGCTCGGGGCTGGAGACCCACACTGCCCTCACCAGCGGCCCAGACCCCCAGCTCCACACCAGTACTGACTGCGACCCCGATCCAGACCACAGTGCCAAACACAAGGTGACCCTCTGGTCTTTACCTCAAGCATCGCCTCAACCCTCAAGGTGTTAACCCTGCCTACATTCCAACCAGATCTGGTCCCACTTCTGACCCAAGCCCCTCTTCAACACTGTCCCTTTCCTCCCTCATCGTCACCTTGAATCTCCGGGCCAGGAACTTATTTTTCATCTCCAGAAAGTTCCCCTTATTGGCTTCAGTTTTAAATGGCTCGTTGATAATGGCAAACTGAGCATCATTCTGGATGTCCTGCCACCGTGCATAGCCATGGCTGCCAATAAAGGAAGTGGATCATCAAGGAATTTAACAGGGTGGGGCTGTGAACACGCCTTCCTTTTGGCCTGGTCGCCCCAAAGTGTGCCACTAGGCCCCCTTCCCTAAGTGTGGACTCATCTTCTCTGTAGTTCCCCTCTCTCCAGGTTGAGAGAACATTTTTTTCCCTGCATTTGTAGCCAAGGATACAGGACAATCCCAGCCAGAAGCCAATAGTCATGTCTTCGGTGCCAGATCTCATTGAGTTTCCCCGAGGAAATAGCTGCTCGTTCCTCATTCTGCCACAGCGTGTGGAGCTCTGAAAAGAAGACAGAAGACAGATGAGGCATCAGGAGTTTGTGAAGCCCAACAGACTGGTACAGAGGAGGGAACTGAACAGTGGGACAGGACTAAGGGCTTTTTAGGAGAAACAGGGCAAAGTTAGGTGAGGGGTTAGGAATAAAACTAGTTACAAACAAGGTTCAAGTTAGGATTAAGAGTACAGGTGGGATTAAGGCAGCTTTGGAGTTAGGAGTACACTTAAGGAGGACCAAGGGCAAGGATCAGAGACAGCATGCACCATTTCATTGGCAGTTACTTGGAATTAAAGGCGGAAGGAGGCCTCAGGCCCAAAGAGAAACCCCATGAGGATGAGCTAACCCCAGTGAGGAGCAGAGGGCAGTGAGGACCCCCCCCACCTGTGAAGCCACCGTCTGCAATATTGAACATGAACCGCGGCTTCTCTGCCTTCTCCTCACGTCGCCCGTTGGACCGCGGCTCGTCTCGAGGAGGCCCAGGTCGAAGCTCCCGGTCCCCTTTTACATCTTCTGCTACGGCAGACGGGGCAGAGCTCACACCTCAGGAGAGTCTCCTCCCAGATCCCAAGACTACTCTCTGTAGTGTACTGGCCCCTGGAACAGCTACCCACCCAGGACCCAGGCATTTGGCTCCCAAGACTCCACCTCCCCTCCCCTGATTCCCTCAGGGACCCAGGTGTCCGGTCCTTCCACCCATTACCTCTCTTGCCCAAATCCCCCGTCTCCCCCTCCGGCCTCTCCCTGTGTTCCTGTCCATCCATCGGCTTCTCCTCCCCCCTCTCTCCTGGCGTCGACTCCGTGGCTGTGGGAGGGGGTAGGGGACAGGAAGGGAGGATGTCACCCTCAGCCCCTGACCCCAGAAGAGGGAACCCCCAAATTCTAAGCCCCCCATCACCCCTAAGGCCATGCACCCACCTGACTTCTCTCTGTCCCCACGGTACCCAGGTTCAGGCTCCATCTCTCCAGGTACCCCTGGCACCTCATCCTCTAGAGGAATCTTCCTTGGCTCCAGCCGCTCCCCAAGTGATGGGGCTGGGCTGGGGGTATCAGCCTAAAAGAGGACAATGGAGTCAGGATGAAGTGGCGGCTCCTAGGCACCTGCCTCCACGACTCTGCCACTGCCTCCCCTCAAAGGAAGCCAGGTAGCCACACACCTCTGCTTCCATCTTCTCCCCAATTTTGCTATTCTTCTCTGGCTTCTCCTCCTGGTTTTCTGCTTCATCCTTCTCCAGAGGTGTCCTTACGCCATCTCCTTTCTCACTGGGAGCTGGAGTAGCTGCGGGGGTAAGGCGGAGTGAGGCAGGCAGAAACTCCCCACCCCAGCTCCAGTCCCTCGGCGTCTAACGGACACCGGCCCCATCTGTCTCTCCCGCCATCCTGAGCTGATTACCAGGTTTTGAGGTGCAAGGACTGTTTGCAGCAGAAGCCTCAGGAGTGGTGGGAGACGTTTTGGTAGGAGAGGAGGCTCTGGAGGAGCGCTTGGAGTCAGCACTGGGGTCGGGCATCAGCTCCGGCATAGACCAGCGCCCATTGATGTGCTCAAACTCCTGAACCTGAAGGGTGCGGGGGAGTCGTAGGGACAGAGATCAGCTCCGGCGACCGGACACACAGCAAGCTCCAGCGCTTCTCCCTGTCTCGCACCAGCGTGAGTCCGGAACTCAGGGACGAGAGGCAGAGGAGCACAGGGTCTAGGCGGCCAGCCTCTTTGGCTGAGGGGAAGACGGATACCTTCTTCTTGACGAGAGACATGACTCCAATGCGGGTCAACACTTGCTGGCGACTCAGTCCCTCCCGAGGGACCCCGTCAGCAAAGGTTTCAGAGCCGTCTGCCCCAGGCTCACAGAGATGGCGCATGAACAAAGACACATAGGCCCTAAGGAGCACGGGGGTGGGAGGTGGGTTAGGAGAGCCTTAGTGGGGGGGCAGGGCAGTAAACGGGGCACAGGGATTACTGAACCTGAAACTCCCGGGTGCCTCCAGGGGTCCTCCCCTGGGCCTCTCAATCTTACCATCACTTGTCCTCCAAATCCTAACTCCCCCATCTGCCCCTCCCCTTGCATTTCCACAGTCCCCTTGGCCTTGGTTACTTCATTCCTAGGCCCCATCAGTCAGCTCTTCATCCTTCCCACCAGCACCCCTGCCAGGTTATCGTGGTCAAATAAATGTGAGGCAAGGACAGCCCAGGCGAGGCTCCTGTCTCAACTGCCTCTCCCATTGGGGAGGAAGCCCAGCCTCCCTGCTCTAGGCTCATCTGAGGGGAGGTGGGGCAGGCTGAGCCCACCCCCCAGGAAACTGAGCCAGGAAACACTGTCTGGCAGGGAGTACGGTGATCAGTTGAGTAAGGTCACATCATATGGTGGCCAAGAGGAAGTCAGTAACACCCAAAGTTTTTACCCTTCCATCCAACTCAGCCCTGTATCACCCCCACTCACTTGAACTCTTTTTCAGTCTTGCCCCTGAGGTCCCGCACCAGCCACTGGGTGGTGAAGGCGTCCTGTGGTGGCATGCCCCAGCGCATCACAGCATTGAGGAAGGCCTTCCGCTGACGGGTGTTGAATCCCAACACCTGATGATGGGGGCAAGGAGGGAGTGGGCAGTGAATGTCCAGGATCTCATTTCTTGGTCTGTTCTACCCTCAGTGACTCAGCTTCAATTTCCTTCATTCTCTCCTCAGGGGCCTAGGCCAGCTCTCACCTCAATGTTGCCCCCAACTCGAGCCAGCAGTGGAGGCAGTGGCTTATCCTTTTCATTCCGGAGCTGCCTCTTGGACTGTCGACGCCCTGGGTGGGGAGATGGTGACCCCGGTTAGTAGAGCTGCCGCCTCCTTCCCCCCTTCACTCCTTCCTAGCCCTCCATTCTCACAAGATACAGAACACAGGAAAGGCCTGTGTCAGCTCTGAGGCGCTTCTAATTTTCTTCCCAGCACATTCAGAACTACTAACCCAATAGGTCCAAAAGAATCGAGTCATACTAAAAAGTCAGTAGCACCCATACGATGCAAGCAAGATTACTGGTGGGAATGTAAAATGATGTTACCTTTCTTGATCTTTCATCTAGGTATCTAAGCCTGCATGGTTATATACTCCCAATTTTAACAGTGGCGAGATTATAGATATTTCTTCCTTTTTGCTTACCTGCAATCTTTACTTTTTCTACAAATGAGCATTTTGTATAAAAACAGTGGGCTTAATAGACAATGGGAAGTGAAATGGGAAGAGGTGCAGTAGAAAGACAAGAAAACAGATGCCACCTTCAGGACGCTCATCAAAGTCTTCATCCTCCTCCTCTGATCCCACTGAGTATTCTGACTGGTTATCTGCGAGGGGAAGGGCTCAGTGGTCAGTGATGGCTCCCTGGATAAGCCCAGGCTGGGGCCCTTCTGTCTGGACACCTCCCCTCGGAGACTTCTGCACCTTCACTCTGGCCTCAGCCCTCCTAGGGATGCCGGATGACTGCCTGCAGTCTGACTCAGGACCACACACCATGTCCACTCACCCACCTACCTCCTGACTCCTGCGTAACCCACCCTAAACAGGGATCCCTGGGTGTCCATCTCAGCCCTCTGCAACTGCTAGATAGCTGAGATCACCTGCAAATCCACCTGGCCTCCGGGTAGCTCCCAGTGTCCCTTCCTAATCTCTTTCCACTTGGCAGGGAAGGCCCTGACTTCTAAGCGCACTCTCCCCTTCTCGGTCCCTCCGTCAGGGGCGGGCCTCACCTTGGTCCTCCTGAGCAGCATCGTTGTAGTTAACCTGCTTGCGGACCCTCTTGCCTTTGCCGAGGTTGCGGGCCAGGTCTTCCTGCTGCTGCTCGTAGTGGTGTCTCAGCAGCTTCTCCCAGTAGTCAGGATCCACGTTCTCCTCCTGCTTGATGATCTCTCGTTCAATTTCCTCAATCTGAAGGGCAGCAGGACGAACGCTGAAGGCCTCCCCTTCCAGTCCTTGCACCATGACAAAATCCCTACTCGCCTGCCTCCACCCAGCCCTAGACCTCGTCACTGTAAGTCCTCTGTGTGAGTTTTCCTTACCTCTTACCTGCAATATGCTTCTCCTCCTCGTGATTTCCCTCTTTTCCAAACCTCTCATCTAGTGCCCTCTGTGTCCCTCCCACTCTGACTCAGAAGGTTCCCTCCCGAGTTTATGACCGCTTTCTCTGCCTAAGTTTTCTCCAAAGTCCAGTCTCATCCTTTAGACCAAGAAGTCGCTTGAGGTCCACTACCGCTCTCTGATTGGCACTGGGGTAAGAGATCAGACAAAACACAAGAGCGAAGGGGGGATCCTCCAACTTCAAGGTCTGGTCAAGGACGTCGGACACCACCCCTCAGAGGTGGCCCGGGATGCACAGTGTCTGGCCCCAAGCCTCTCACCTTGTCTTCTTCCCTCACCACGTACTGGGCCACCTTGAAGGAGCTGAGATACTCATTCATGTTCTGCACGTCAGTGTCCTCAGTTGCATCCTGGTTCCGGTCCAGGAGCCGAGCGATGGCCTCGTTGTCATAGTGAATCACACTGCTGTCCTCCTCCTTGTTCTCCCCTGGTGGAGTTGGGGAATGAGAGGGGACTCTGAGCTCTAACCAGAACCTCAGGCTGAACTTTAGAGACATCAGAGGAAAGCCTTCCCCTCTGCTTCCTTTTCACGGGAGCTCTGGAGAAGGCCCTTTCCCTGGACGTCTACACAGAGATTTGCTGTTGTTTTCAACCTTACAGGTAAGGAAAGAAGCCAACCTTCCTCCAAGGATGCAGAGAAGAGATTTTCTTCAGGGAGTTTCAGAAGAGAAGTGCTCATAGACAGCAAAGACCTGCTTACAGGGAGCTGCAGAAAAGGCTCTCACCCTCATTTTCATCCTTAAATAGCTCCTCGGTGCCAAATTTGAGGATGTCATCCAGCTCCTGCTTGGACATGGAGCCCGCCTTGGAGCCCAGCCCAGGCCGCACCACCAGATGCGTCAGCATCATCTTTCTCTTGGCCACCTGTGTGATTCGCTCTTCCACTGATGCGCGAGTCACAAACCGGTAAATCATCACTTTGTTGGCCTGGCCGATCCGATGAGCACGGCTGAAGGCCTGCAGGGGCCGGAAAGTGGGGATGGGCCAGGGGAGTGGCAGGGGAGACACCCCCTACACGCTCTGGAGAAGAGGCTGACAAGGAAGGGTCTTCTACCCACCAAGAGGTTTATTTGTGACCCCAGAACAGACAGACACATCTCCTTGCTCAAAGGGGCTCCGGGAGGCGTGTTCTCACCTGGATATCATTATGGGGGTTCCAGTCTGAATCAAAGATGATGACAGTGTCGGCAGTGGCCAGGTTGATGCCCAGGCCTCCAGCCCGGGTGGACAGGAGGAAGCAGAATTGTTGGGCCCCAGGAGCTAGGAGGCAAGAATTAGGAAATCAGGCCTTTCTTGTACCCAGCAGGTCTGTCCACCTGCTCCTAGTTGTTCCCTGACTACAAACAACGATGCCCTCAACTCAAAAGCCCAGGTGGCTAATATCCTCCCAGGCCAGCACCCTCCCATCCCAGGGACCTAGGCACAGGTTTCTCGGGCCTCCCACACCCAGCAGGGACCAAGGCCCCCCTCACCATTGAAGCGATCGATGGCCTCCTGCCTCAGGGCACCAGTGATGCCGCCGTCAATGCGCTCGTACTTGTAGCCTTCGTAGTCTAAGAAGTCCTCTAGCAAGTCTAACATTTTGGTCATCTAGAGCAAGAGAAAAGGCAGGAGTCTAGAACGACGAGGCCATAGAATGCGCCCTGTCTGTTCTGACTACCTCTTTATTCTCTCTCGACCCCAGTCCTTACACTTGTGCCCCTGCCCTGTCATATACCCACCACAGCTGCTTCCTCCACCCCCAGCTCCTCCTGGGACATTTCTGTCATTCTCTCTCTCTTGATTTAAGACCATTTCTCCTACGGCAGAGGTTCTCCTCTGACACCCATGACAAAGTTTCAGGGAAATCTATGAATCCCCTGAAAACCTGTACAAAATTGTCTAGTTGTGTGTGCAGTTTTCTGGAGAACAGACCCACAGCTTTCATCAGATTTCCAAAAGGTCTGTGCTCGCCTCCCTTCCCCAATAAGGTGAAGAAACAGTCCCAGTCCCAGAGACGACCTCTAGGAGGCAGACGGCTCACCCTTCCCCTTCGCCCCTTCTGGCGTACAGAAGCTGTTCTACAACTTCCAACAGCCTTAATTAAGAACAGGGATCAGAGGCCAAGATGAACTCAGCTATACCAGAAACCCTCAGGGGTGTAATTGCCTAACCTCGCATCCCGTGGCAACCACAGGGACGACGTAAGCGATTATCTGATGGTGAGAAAGAGCTACAGGGATGGGTCACCTGCGAGAAGATGAGCACTCTGTGTCCTTGCTCCTTCAGCTTCCGCAGCATCTTCTGCAGCAGCATGAGCTTCCCAGATGCCTTAATAAGTGCCCCACCCTCATATGCCCCACTGGGAAGTTTGGGGGACTCCTGAAAAGAAGGCAGGAAAAAAGGAGGGGAGGGTCAGTGAACACGCCCCCGTATTCTGACTATGCCTAGAAAGTTGGAGGCCCAAATCCAGGCTCCGCACCTTTACAATTCCTACTCTTCTCAGAAATCTAGTCTCTGGCCTCCCAGCCCAACTCCAGCCCTGTGCTCAACTGCCCATGTTTCCAAAGAGCCAGGCATTTCACAGTCCCCCAGCTCCCGTATCTACCATAGCAGCCACAGGAAAGAGATATGGATGGTTGCAGCACTTCTTAAGATCCATCATGATGTTAAGCAATGACACTTGGTTCCCACCTCCTCGTGAATTCAAGGCCTCAAAATTTCGGGTCAGGATATACTTGTAGTATTTCCTAGAGCCCAGGGCAGGGCCATGGAAGAGACACAATAAAGGAAGCAATTACGATGTTGCATTTGGTCGCCAACTCTTGGAAAGCTGCCACCAAATCCTCAACCCTGGGCCAGGTAACCCGCCCTGCATCTCACTTCTGCATGGGGCTCAGCTCCACGCGGACGATGAGCTCTGTCTTGGCCGGCATATTCTTAAAAACATCAGCCTTGAGCCTCCTCAGCATATGTGGCCCCAGCAAGTCATGAAGTTTCTTAATCTGGTCTTCTTTGGATATGTCGGCAAACTCCTCCAGGAAGCCTTCCAGATTGCTAGTAGCCAGAAGGAGAAAAGGAGATGAACAGGCGTCAGGTTCTTTGCCCCTGACCTCAGGCTCTATTCCTCACTCCAGATGAATCCTCCTCCCACTCATCTTCCCAGTCCCTCCACCTCTCCTCTCTGCAGACCACCCTACTGAGCCACTTACTTAAACCTCTCCGGGGTGAGGAAGTTCAGCAGATGGAAGAGCTCCTCCAGGTTATTCTGCAGGGGAGTCCCTGTCAGCAGCAACTTATGATCTATCTTGTAGCCATTGAGGACCCTGAAAAACTAGAAAATGGGGCAAGGAAAGGCAGAGGAAAGGGCCCATCAGTGGCAAGTGGCTGGCCCACGGTATCACCTTTCCCTGCCTCTAGCTCCTATTTCCTTCAGGATCAGAGGCCCTCACATCCCTAGTCCTCTCCTTCTTCCAACCTGGACTTCTCCCCAGACTTATTCCCAGGCTTCCTGCCTCCCTGATGGCAGAAAGTCCCTGAAACTTTATTTCTTAGCACTAGGGCAAGTAGGAGTCCACAGCCTCAAGTTTCTGAGGCCTGGGTATCTCACTCACCTTGGACTGGTTGTTCTTGAGCCGATGGGCCTCATCCACCACGAGACAGGCCCAGCGGATGGAGCCAAGAGCTGCCTGGTCAATGGTGATCAGCTCATATGATGTCAGGAGAACATGGAACTTCACCTGCGCCTCCCTCTGCCAACACAACCATTGTCCATTTGGCTGCCACCCCACACCCAAGCATCTAGGCCTCCACGCCCATTCTCCACGCAGACACCCAGGCCTAACTGAGACTCCCAAAGGGAGCCCGTTGTCCTGTCCTCCAACTTTGACTCTGTGCAGGGACTTCTGAATGTGGCCCCCAAACTTCCACCACCTGTCCAGGATGAACAGATCCATGTACACCCCTGGGAGTACCCACCACATCTCTAGGACTGGAGTGCAGAGCGTGAGGGAAGGTGGAGGAAAGGAGGGAGAAAGCTGAACGGGGAATAAAGGAACTGAAGTCCTGGTTGGGGCAACGAAATGACAGATCTGAGGACTTTAGAGGACATGAGATAGAGGGGCTTACCTTCATCTTAAAAGCTTTCTTGCCACCTTTGATGGCATTGTCTTCAAAGGAAAACTCATTCTCACGAATGATGGCTCGGCTGTCCTTGTCACCCGTGTATGTCACCACATAGAACTTGGGTGCCCACATCTGGAACTCCCGCTCCCAGTTAATGATGGTGGAGAGCGGGGCACTCACCAGGAAGGGACCCTTTGTGTGGCCCTGGGAGTCGAGGGTGGGGGACCATTAGTCTAGGCTCATGGTTATACAACCCAGTCCACTGCCTGCCGCACCCCTCCCCCGCAGTTCTCTGCCCTCACCCTCCACTCCCACCTTCCCCAGTCCAGGCTAGGCCTCAGCACGGCTGTCCCCCTGTGGGCCCGAGAGTCTAGCACCTCCTTATACAGTGAGTAGAGGAAGACGATGGTTTGTATGGTCTTGCCCAGTCCCATCTCATCAGCCAGAATGGTGTCAGTGCCCTGGGCCCACGAGAAGCGTAGCCAGTTCAACCCCTCCAGCTGATACATGTGCAGCGTGCCTCCAGTGGCTGTGATGAACCGTGGCTGAGTCTCGTATTTCACTGTAGGCTGTAGAATCAAGAAGTCAGAAAGCTCAGGGGAGCCATCAGCTGCTCCTCCGGTCTTGGCCTCCTCCTCCCCTCTCCCCGGCACTGATATCAAATGGGGTTACAAGTCCCTCTCCTATGGCCTGAGCTTATGAAAGTTTGAGTCTGCAGTGCCTCCCCCTCATTCCTTAAAACAATACCCAGAAGCACTGTGGGGAAGGAAACTGGTAGAAGAGCCCTGTGTGCTGCTGTCTCTAGCAGCTCTCGCTCCTGTGCCAAAATTCCTAGCACTCTTGGGGCAAAGCTGAACACTGAAGGAAGAGCTACTGTTCAAAGAAGTTGTTGAAACTCTGGGAAGTTCTGTCAGAAGCCCCCAGGAAATCTTCAATCACCATGGCTCCAGAAACGGGAGACAGGCCAAGTGGCAGGACTTACGTCATTAGTAGGAGAGCTGGGAGGCCCATCACCCTGCAGCTCCTTCTTCTTCTTCTTATACTTGCGGGGCTGGGCGGGGTCCTCCCCCATAATTAGTTCTCTGGGAAAACAGCGGGTCTGAGTGAGACCTGGTCCTTGGACCCACCCCGTCCTTCTGAACCCACTCCATACCTAGCTCCCACTTCCCATAACCGAGATTTTCTCACATTTCCTTTCTCCCAGGTTCTTTACCCTCACCCCTTGGAGTTCAGCTCTAAAGCCAACCCTCCCCACCCCTCACCATCCTCATCCCCCATTACTCAGGCTAGATCTCCTTTCTGTTCCTCACACCGCCTCTTTCCCGACCCCACTGCAAACAACCCAGCCCAGGCTCCCACTGCCCTAAATTCTAGATTGGGTCTGTCCCTACTGCATCTCATTTAATGCTGGAGGTTTAGCTTTCATGCCTCTGTCCTCAGACTCCCTCTAACCCACGACCTGGCTCCCTCACCGGTGTCTCCAGTAGCTTTGTTTATGGTCTTCATATTCAGGGATGTTCATTTCATCTTCCTCCCACGTGGACTGGTCATAGGGCAAGTCCCTCCATTTCACTAGATAGTGGTAATTTCCCTTCTTATCCACACTGTGGGGAGAGAAGCCAGGAGAAGGAGCAGGAGGAGAAAAGTAATATGTGTCACAAGTAGAAAAAGTCATAATAAACACAATTATCAGCAAACATGCAGACTTTGTCACCTAATCCTCAATGGTGGGCCTCTGAAAGGCAGTTTGGAATGGCTGAAGTTCCACCCTAACTTTTTCAGGATGGCTTCCTAAAAATCAACGATCACAAAACATCCCTGGCTTCAACATCGTTTGTTCATCCAATCAGTATTTACTAAGCATCTACTACATGCCAGGCACTGTCTCAGGCACGGGTGATTGAGCAGAACCAAGCAGACAAATGACCTATTCCCGTGGAGCTCACATTCTATTGGGGGAGGCAGTGATGAAACAGAAAAATAAAAAGACAATGTAACATTAGTTAGTAACAAGTACTGTGAAGAAAGAAATACGAGAAACACTGGTCTCTATGAACCACGTGTTTCACGATTTGCTTTTTTCACAACCAGATCCCCAGACTCATATGTCATTTCTTAAGCTTTTAGAAATCAGAAGAAGCAAGGACAAAGCAGTCAGTGCTGGGCTGGACTTTCCTCCTGGTTCCTCCCATCTCCATAGAGGACACAAAGCCAGAAGGGCTGGGGCTGCAGTGGCAATTATCCAGTTAGATCAATTATCTGGTTAATCAACAAACACTAACATGGAGCCACAGCGCAACAAGAATAGTGGCGAAACCCAGGTAGGCCTTCGCGCGGACCAAGGGCCAAGGACTCACCTGTGGTTGATGATCCGGTGGACGGTCATCCACTCTGGCTTGATGCCGAATCGATAGTACTTCTCCTCCATCTCGGCATAGTGCGGGTCCTTCACCTTGCGTTTGTCACTCTTCCCATCATCCTCACCAGAGCCGTAGTCGAGGGGTGGGGGCTCGTCCATGTCATTCTTCCGTTGATAGTTTCGGTACATTACCAAGTGGAAAATTTCCAGCTGATGGGGCACAGAGGAGGAGGGAATAGATAGTCCCAACATCCCGAGAGGACAAAAGGAGACAGGGCAGAGGCCGGCAGGGGGAACGGCATGGGAAAGCAAGCAATGAAAGAGGTGGGATGAGGGACATAGTGAGTTACATCCAAAGCAGGAGAACGAATAACATGCCGGAGAACAGAGTCAGAGACAGGACCTGGGCGGGGAGGTAATAAGCAAAAGGAGAAAGGGAATAGGGTTGTTAAGACTGGGGCTATCAGTAAAATATGGTTAAGACGGATAAGGAAAGAGATGGAGTTGAGGCAGGCTAAGGAAAGCCTATGTTACCTAAAGGAAAAGGAATCTAACGGAGACTGAGGGGAAGAGAACTGGAGTTCCAGAGAA